GTATACTTCCAATGCACATGTGCATATGTACTGTATACTTTCAGGGAACATGTGCATATAGTATGTACAGTATACTTCCATTGCATGTATATGTACAGTATACTTCCAGTGCACATGTGCATAATAATAATAATAATAATTCTGGATTTATATAGCGCCTCACGTTGACACAACCTCGAAGCGCTTGAACATTATTACCCCCGGATCACTGGATCAAGCACATATGGAACACACACTCAAGCCCCATAGGTGAATTCCATAATTTTGCAGCTGTATTCAGCGCAGGCTGTGTTTGAACCTACCAGGTACCCACTTGTACTCCTGGGTGGAGAGAGACAACCGTAGATAAAGTGCCTTGCCCAAGGACACAAGCGACTTGCACAGTGAAAGTTTCGAACCCTCGACCTCAAGGTTGGGAGTCCAAACCATAACCGATGCGCCAACCACTTCTATAAATATACAGTATGTGTACAGTACAATACTGTATGTGCATATTATGTATAGTACAAGTGCATTGGTAGTGTACTATATACAAAGACTTGTGTACAATAGGCCTACTTAGTCCACATGTGCAGAACAGTATATTTCCAGTGCACTTCTAGTACACATGTGGTACACTACCAGTACACCATACAGTATTAGGCACTTTACGCAAGAGGATGGGGAGCCGTCCGCCGAGAACGGCAATTCAGATTAAGCGCGCTATTGCTTACTGTAGTCTTCACGCTCTGATGAGCACCAAACCACTGTCCACCCGTCATCTTGTCCTGTTGCGTAAAGTGTCTAATAACTCTTACCAATGAACATAACACAGTACTGTATGTATCGCAAATAATAAGGCACAAAGTACATAAATACAGTCATGTACCTGTAAGCAAAGTATTTTGAAAAAAACCCATCGAAAATGATGACTGCAAATAAAAGTTGTTTTTTTTTTTGCCTGCTAGTGAACCCGTCACCGTGTCAATGTTTTTTTTCTTTATTTCTATCCCAATGACGCCACCAAGAAATGCCAATTACAAAATATATATTTTATGCTACAATTTAAAAGTACATATGAATCTCAGTGCTGAACTATTTACATCGTAATCTCAATAAAATACCACAAGATGAGATTTTAAGCGCCTGCCTAAGTGCACTCTTATTGCAAATTTGTACCAAATGCATTTGAATAGTATGCCTAAAATTAGGTTTGCTGGTTTATCATTTGTGAAAATTCAGATTTAACCAGGCCAGAGTTCATCTCCACTTGAGTAATTCATCTGACCATACCATTCTTACAAAATTTGGTTTAAGAAATTTGTCTCCAGTTGATCAATAGCAACACAAAGAAGATAATCAAATTTTACTTTGATTTGTTCTTAATGAAGCTCTGTCTAGATTGTCAACATTTCTTTGACAAGAAAGTGTTGCCTGCCCATATATAGTCATGATGTGCCCATATATGGTCATGTAGTATGGATTGATGTTATCATGACCATATTTAGGCATGTCACATGTTTTTGTCAAATAAAATTTGACATTCTGGATAGGGCTTTAGGGTTTCAATTGTTTCACAATCTTACTATACTATATAGACAAACAGAAGGTCAGTCTTTATCTATTTATTAATTTTCTTTTAGTCTCAAATTTCATTGAAACAATTTCTTAATGTCAATAAAATTTCTTCTTTTTTTTTTCAACTTTGCTTCTCAGATGCATTTGGCAGAAGCAATTGGCTAAATGTGAAAATGAAATTTCGTTTGAATTCTTTCCCAGCTTTAAAAGATGTAATTTGTTAAAAAAGGTATAAAAAACAAAATCTAATGTACTGCACTAATGCACCGGTAGTGTATTAAAGCACCATTATGTTAAAATGTGTGTAAAAAAACTATGAGAATACTAATTTAATAATTCACTTGCAGGTATTGGATGTGCAATACACAATTTACTTAATATCAAACCTGTGCATGAAAACCTGTGCATTAACTTTAAACCGATAAATATAACTATTGGCAGACACTTTTTTTTTTCAAAATTGTGCATGAAACCCTATGCATCAATGCATAATTGACCTTAAACACATTACGTAAGTATGGATTGACATTTCTAAGGATCATTTTTAATGACCTCGGTGAAACCCATTAAATGTAAATAAACCCTTGAAACAAGAACCATGTTAAATAATACAGGACAAACATACTGCACATGAAGGTCTCATTACAGCAGCAGGCTTACAGTTTGGAGTTCTGAAAGGATTTGAAACCAGATTCCTGGGAACACAGGGCAAGCACCTCATACCCAACAGCCTAAAACTCTACTCCATTACATAGACATTAAAAAACAAGTTGCATTATGAAATCTAAACCCCAATAGTGGTAAATCCAGGAGTGGAATGGAGGGATTTGCAATTCACCAATATGGGTGTGATCATGCCCATATAATTTACTTGTAAGTGTGTGATATTACTAAAAACATGCCCATATATTTACAAATCAGAGATATATTTGTTACAGAAAAAATTGATTAGTATACAACAAGCATTAGATTCCAAAAAGGTAGCACACCTCTTTATCTTCCGCTGTTTTCAAATTTATATTATCTACTGGCAATGAACCAAGTTTAACTTTTATATTGAAATAAATTAAAGTAATTATTTTTGTGATTAATTTATATTATTGAATAGGATTACTTGTGACCAGATAAGCATGATGCTTTTGTTTATTTTGTGATCATAAGTGTGTCTACAGCAAATTATGTGATCACATTATAATGTTTATGATACATTACCTCTGTCTGAATCATTAACTTGAAGCAACGTGTTCACTTGCGAGCAAGGTATGTCTACAAAAATTAATAGCAGCTGTCATCAGCCAATAGCAACAGGGTATTCAGTGATTGCCATGGTTACAAATGCATAACATTTAATTGCTAGTGCAGAAGAGGTACACTACTATACAGGTGGATGCATATGCATTGATGATGATGAGATAACGACCGGACCAAGTGCGGGTAGTTCTTCATTTGTTGATAATTAAATAGACATAAAACATTTTGAGGCATTCTGAATTTATCAACATATTCTCTAGTAGATTTTTTTAATGGATTTCTATGTCTTAAATGTTTCAATTACATTCTAGTGTACAAATAAACAGATGTTGAAGATTTTTTGAATCCAGCATGGAGTCATTAACTTGAAATGGGAGTGAGGTGGGACAAGCGGCAAGCATAAGTTGCGATAGTCTTGGATGGGTGTCCAATGCAACTACTTTTACTGTAATAGAGGGATGGTAAATCAAAGAAAGATTGTTATAAGCATTCAATGGACAAAATTGAATCTGAAAACATTTGATTTTAATGTTTATTTACTTTTAGTTGCAATAAAATATTCAAACAAAATAGCAATTGTAAGGTGTCATAATTTGTTCCATATGAAAACTAAAAATTCTATTGTATTCTGTTTGAGTACCCATTCCATTTCCTACTCATGTACTGAGGCACTTCCTAGTATGTAAAAGGTATTGGTAGCATGAGTAATTCTAATTGTATTGGGACAATGGGTTTCTTCATAAACACAACAAACCTTTGGTTAGGCGAGACTTTGTTTTACACCTTGTTTAGCAAACCCGCCGACTGCAAATATTGATTTTGAATAAAATTTATTTTTGGAAAATTAGCGCACCCGCCGCCACGAAAAAATTTCAACAAAAAATAAAAGTTTTTCTTTATTTTTATTATGCCCTCCGCTGCCTTGAAATATGTATATTTCTTCCTAATTATATAAATTTGAAGCACTTAACTACCCCATTTTACATTCACCAATAAAATTTTATTTTTATTTTCTCCTCCGTCTATATGATTTTGGCAAAACTATTTGCTAAATAAGAAAACAAAATTTTATTCTTATTTTTATTCCACCCTCCTTCGTCTTTAAAATCTTAAAAAAAAATAAGTATGAAAAAAATAAGTACGCGAAACAAGGAATTAAAAAAGTCTCACCTTACAGTACATTATTCCTGAAAACGTTCATTTGTCAGATTGTGGTGCATCTACTTAATTAAGGTTGTGGTACAGTGGTTACAGTATTAGGCCTAGTGGAATGATGTCTCTACCCCGGGATGTATAGTTCATTTGCATTAGGACCTTCAGTGGAATGACGCCCCTATCCAACAATGCATAGTTTAGGGTGGGGTATGCAGGTCATTAAACCTATAGTGGATTGACGTCCCTACCCCACGATGGATAATTGTATTGTATTTTTGGTGTTTAATTATGTGTTGTGCGGATATTGGCCCAAGATGGCATTTGCAACAAAAAGAAATATAATTGAACAGAAACATACAGTAGCAAGATATATTATTAAGTGATACATCATTTTTCCCCCAACCTAAAGGTTTCTGGTCTTTCAGACCAATTAGAACAAACCATTTTGCATTCAGGAGGCAAATCCTCCTATTTGCCATGATACATGTGACATTTCCTCACGCCTATATTAAGTATACTACTGTATAATGTTGAATTTTTTTTACTACTGTATATTGCTATGTTGATTTGAAATGGTGGTGTCTCCTAATGGCCTCAAGAAAATAAAGACTACAGTATGTTCATATTTAAGTAATTTTGAGTCAAAAATAATTTATCTCTCAAGGAATAATGTTATTTATAGTCCAAAATAAATAGAATTAATAATTTTACTAAAAATGTTAGTTGTAACGGTACTGTGAATTACATGTATACAGTAATCGGCATCTCTTTTTGGTTGCTAAGTGGAACATATAGAGCATTATTAGTTGACATGAACTTTCAGGATTTTGTTAATTGGGTAGAATCAATCATACATAATGTAACCTAATGGTAGGGAATTCTTAGCCATGCATACTAGAGTACCACAGGTTATGTCATTCTCATCTTAAGCTCTATCCACACTATCCAATTTTCTTAGACAAAAAAATATGACTTGCCCATACATAGTAACGCTATGCCTATATATGGTCATGGTGTGATGTCATCATGCCCATATATGGGCATATCACACTTTTTTGTCACACAAAATTTGATAGTGTAGACAGAGCTTTAGCAGGTAACCCACTTAAGTCCTGGAGGCAAATGTAAAGTGTCTTTGCAACAAAAAGGATTAGCATATTGGCTTGCATTGGACTCAAGACATTCTTTTGGAAGCACAGTCATACCATATTATGCCAATGTCTTCCACAACATTGCTTACAGAATCCTCTTGAGAGAGAACCATTTTAAGCCAACACACATAAACAATGTTATATTTATAAAGAGAAAATGTCAGTTTTCACTACTTAGGAAGCACTGAATTTGAATATGGCTTTTTTGAATAATAGAGGGAGGGCTTTAATTGATTGCTAGGTGAGCAGTAAATTACTTATTAATCAATAAAGGTACTAAAAGCTTTTTAAATTAATTCATTTTCTTTTGTTATCAATTTTCCTCCTGTCACAAATTCTCTGTCTCTGTTCTCTGACAGGGCATGTCTAATTTTCATTGTAATAATTTTTAGAGCTTTCAGTTTTTGTATGTAACATAATTTGATAATTTTTTTTCACTTTAGTATTATTAGACCTAATTGTTTTCATTATTCTTCTGCTTAAGTTTAGTCATATTGGTATTACTACATAATTTAAATATTATTGGTACCTACTTTTAAAATATGTGCATATGTAATTAATTTGTGTTTTACTAATCTGTAATCTATATAAAAAAGGTGCAATCAGTACGATAACACGTCAAAACATCATTCCTATTAAATCGCCTGACACAAACACAATTGGAAAAGCATTGCGGTACCCGCTGCTATTTGGGGATCGGTTTTAACACTAGCTACTAAGCGCAAGCTCAGTGGTCTAGTGGTTCATCTGGGGGTTGTGGTTCAATGCCCACCCCAATCACTTGCAAGACTTTTTTTGCAAGTATTTGGGATGTACTGAGCATTAACACGTCAGGTAGGGCAAAACATTTCCTAATATAAAAAGAATTAATATGAAATACTGTACCTGAAAATGTTGGTTGCATTCTATCACTATCACTCTTCCAATAAATTCTCACCACTAAGCAATTAATAAAACAGCATAACAAATAATACAAGAGCATAACAAATTGAATTTCCAATGTAGAGAAAAAAAAAAACCAACAAAACATTGTTTTACTATAAATAATTTCCTTACCATCCCTTGTTCCATTTTCGTCGATACTCAGCGTCTCTGTGAGTTCCGAAAGGGAGTCTGCCACCCCTCTCCCACGCAGCGTTAACGACAATCTCCTCTTTATTCTTTTCATTCTTCAAATTTTGGAGTCCGACCTACACAAAATATTCTACACACTCAACTGCTGAATGTCATCAGACCAGAACAACTCTGGCTTGCTACAGAATTAGTCATTAACATGTAATTAACAGCGTTTGATGAAGGTTAAATCAAAGTAGCTGCCGAATCAGCTTCGCTGTGGTGTCGCCATCAAAGTAATAGCCTCAAATAAGGTGTCCTAGTCTCCATTTTTTTTCAATAATCACTTCGTAAAAACAGGTTAAACATTATATAAACCGCCGCCTGCTATGATTAATCAGCGTTCTTGTCTCCCCTTCTTGTTTTACTATAGCTTGCTATAATTTTCTTTCAGATTCGTACTATGATGTTTGGCCTGTGAATAGATTAAAAAATAAATTATGTAATTATATTAATAATTCAGTAATACAGTATATTACTAGCTTGCATACAGTTTGAATACAATCATATGATGTACAAAGAAATATCTTTTGCTTTTCAACACTGGTATTATGACTGAAAAGAGAATAATAATAGAATATATTAAGATAAAATATGATAATTTTTTTGATGTAAAATTTAATCAACTCTACTAGAAAATTATTGCAAGTGAAACCATGTCTGCATTGTGCTTATAAATTTTTAAAAACAAATCAATATTTTAATTATCTGCTTTGTATTCTATTGCAAATGAGAATTTTAATTACTTCTTTATCTCCCGATTAAACAGTGGCATAAATATTACCAGTTTTGAATTCTTTTTGCAAATGCAGACCTTTAAATTACTGGTAAAAAACACATGATTCTATGCAGAATAAAGGCACCATACCCAAAGGCACCGCTTTACAACAATCAAACTTAAGAACGAAAACAAAAACATCAAAGTGGGAACATTTCATTACAAGATATAACATACAAATTACCACGTCTAGCCAGTGAATGTACTGTAAAATACATGATTAATAAGTAGATTCACTCGCCTAAACAAGGTGTCCACTCTCTTCTGTACATTTTCATATCTGATGATGCTTTAATTTTAAAGGTACTGTCTTCCATATTATTCCAACCGAAAACTGAAAAAATCCTTATTTTTGGCCAATGTGACTACGCTAGTCTTCTTCAGGACATGCAAAAGATGTTACAAAATGGCTGTAGATTTTATGGAATTTGTTATCAACCAACTAAGAAAAAAGTAACCATCTTGTCAAAAGCTAAAGCAATTGAAATTAATGGACAGGTAAAGACAACCTTTCCTGTATTCCTTTGCATCAACCTTTAAATTGGCTGGTAAATTTAAGGATATTAAATTTCTGTGAATCAGTGAAAACTATTTTTTTTTTTTATCTGTTTCTGAATGGAATTTAGTAACTTGTATATTTTTTTATTTGCTCAGAATTCAATAGCAATGAAGGTTGCCAATTACAGAATTGAAACAATAATTCTATATAAAATACAAAAATGGAGATTACAAAAACAAAATACCGTACAGCAATTACAAAATAAGGAGTTTAAACATTTTTTAAATACATCTTTTATATGAGCTTTTTGAAGTTTTAATTGGATTTGAAGGAACAATACATCTTTAATTACTCACACCATATTGTATAAAGGCAAGAGTATTCAATTTAATCCTTAAGCTGGAACTTTTACACCATGTTTTGCGAATACACTTCCTGCCAACGCCAAAATAAAAATAAAATTTTAGTTTTGGTTAGAAATGGTTCACGTACAGTAACAACACAACAAGGCTGCTTTTTCATTTATTTTTTTAAATTCTTTTCTACATAAAAAATACACTTGTAAAGTAAGCTGTAATTAGTATAAAAATTATTGCCTTTTTAAGGTTTTAGCCTTTGCACAGACAGTTTAGTTTTAATACATACTACAACACAAACATATTCAAAATCACTATGCATTCTAATAATCAAATTGCTGGGTTCCCTAGTGAATTAATCACGCAATCAACGCATCCCTCATAAAGGACGGATTCAAAATTTGACAAGTCCAATTCTAATTTGATACGCTTCATTGGCTTGGAAAAAGCACAGGAATCCCAATCTACTGTCTGATATTATGACGATGTGCATCAGAATTTGCATCGATCTAACCATATACAGTAGGCCGGCCAGTCATGAAAAACACAATAACCTGTATAGATCATTCCAAACCCAGTCTTTCATTCAGAATCAAGTTAAGACTTTAAAATCATACGCTGAGAATTTGGAATTTAATTATAATTATCTGAATATTAACTGGCTAGTAGAACAAAACATTCTATTTTGAATGATTATTTTTTAGTAATTCAACAGAATTTTAATAGGATTTTACATTCAAGAAATTTTCTATCTGTATAGTATAGTGAAATAAATTAAATGGACACTGAATTAAACAGTTTTAATGTTTTTAAAAATGATAATCTTGTATTCTATATAATTTATTTATTTTATTTATTTTTCCTATATTATTGTTATGTTACTTGGGAAGTAAGGAACCTTAAGTTTTGTTACATTAATTTATTTAACTTACAGGGTTCCTGCCTGCTCCCTGAGTTGACTGTCATTGTTTTTGTTTATGTTCTTGTTTTTGGCAATAAAGAGTAAGTTTATTATAAAAAGAATATAGAACATTTAACTTTAATAAACTGCCATAAATTAGCTATAGATAGATAGATAGAAATCTTTCTTTATTCTGAATACTTAATCAACTTTTACATTGTTCTTCCTTAAGGTCCAGTTAATAGTTAAAATATCAAAATAAGAAATGAAAGTTAAGAAATTATATAAAAAAAAACAAAAGAAAATTTGGTAAACACAAGCAAAATTTAGTATACAAAAGAAGCAAAATGAAAATGTAATATTAAATCAAATTTTTGAAGGAATGCAAAGTTAAGGACTTTATTGAACTGCGAGTATCAGGGGAGAAGATTGTTCCACAGTTTAACCGAGCGGTATTTGAATGTTTTTTTCCCAAATTCATTGTTCCATTTAGGTAAAACTAATGTATTTTTTGATTTGCTTCTTGTGTTTAGACTGTGATAATTGTCCATTTGTGGGACTTATACTTTATAAATATGTAATGACTAAGTAGAAAACAATAGATTATATTTTAATTCAAAGTTTTACTAGTGTAGTTTTAATTGACAGCATAGTGACTATGGCTCTAGCACTAGACATTTTTTTAAATTATTTTACCGCAGATTTAAAAAAAACAAAAAGTGTACAATGCTACCACAAAGCAACTAGCTGAAGTCCAGAGTATACGATGGCATCAGAAGGATCACTGGTTGCGGGACAACATATAACCCTTTAAAAAAAAATTAAATTCAAGACCCATCCAAAATGAATATAAAAAAATTATAGTGGTCATCTCCTTCCTTAATAATTTAAACTTAAAACCAAATGATCACAACTTCTTAAATCTTGAGTATTGTCACAAAGGGTCAAAAGGACATGAAAAAATGCTTATTTTACAGTACCAGTAACACTGAAGTAGACAATTTATGTTGCAAGTTCCTGTGAATACACTACTGAGACTGTATGCTGGTACTGTGTATGTTTAATGAGGAGGTAATTATTCTTGTATTGTGTGATACAGTAGTAACATACTATGTGGAAGTAACTGTAGTCACAAAACAAAAGGACATTAGAAATAAATTTAAAATAGGTAGATAGATAAACAGCTCACTTGGCATTTCCTTGTTGAGTCCCTACTACAAAATTTACATAACCTTCTACCATCATTAAGCGTAGTTTTCACATTTACAACAAAAAAATAACCAGGTTTTAGCATACTGTACCTAACAATTAGAATTCCCAACAAATATAATTCCAAAACCTCTCGCTCAATAGAGTATTTATGACAGACCTTTCATATCCAATTCCTGCTATATATTGTTTTAATGTGTTTTTGTAACCCCCTGTTCAGACACAGCAACACACTGAATCCCTTGACCTGATTGGCTTCAACATTCCCTCACCTGTCCTAAAGAACATAATACGCTGTGGGTTTAAAATACAATATCGAGTTTCCTGTTTTTCCATTACAATGTAAGCTACAGTATGGTGATGTCCACACTATCAAATTTTATCAGACAAAAAACTGTTGTATGCCTATATATAGTTGTGATATGCCTATATATGGTCATGATACATGTCATCATGACCATATTTAGGTAGGTCAAATAAAATTTGATACTCTGGACAGGGCCTTAGATAGATTTGATGTAAATATGTAATGTCATTTGAAATTGTCTTTAAAATTCCAATAAAAATGATGCAAAGAGAAACACTGGTAGTGTACAAGTACTGGTAGAACATACAAATGCAGCTTTAACTGTGGTTTTTGAAGAGGGTACCCTATAAATGATGAAACAGCACTAAAAGATTAGAAAATAAAAATTAAATACATCAGCAGATATGGCCTTACAGTAGGTAGAAGAAATAAAATTTCATGGAAAATGATCCGAAATTCTCATTGTCGACTTTAGTAGAGCAGATTGCAAGTGACATCAAATGCAGGACTTAAGCTGGGCACTCACTGGGTCGTACAACGGTCGTCCGACCGTTCGTACGATGAATCCAACTCCGTTCCCTGTGAGCTGATTGTCAGCAGCCATTAAAAACGATCCATTGCGTCAGTGTCGTCGCGTTTTATTCTTCATAGAATCGCATCGGCCGACGACCGTTGTGTACAGTGAGGGCCTGGCTTAACAAGTTATATTTAAACACAAAATCTGAGTAAGGAATACCCACGCCCGGGTCTGGATCGGTATGTGTAAATTTGGCCAGACTAAACATCCATTATATTAACTATCATTATTATTGTCATTTTCAGGTATATTTAAAATGAAAAAACTGCACTAATGTATTTGATCAGTATTGAAACTGAAGAGAAGAAATTGGCCAGTTTCCATCATGCAAAATGGACAGCCAGTTATAACATGCACATGCATTCAAAAAAATAATAATTAGATGGAAGAATAAGATAATTTTGTATGATGAACGGTAATGATCTCATAAAAATAATAATTAGATGGAAGGTTAAAATAATTTTGTATGATGAACAATAATGATCTCATAATGACAAATCATGGCGATACTAATAAATGATGATGTCATTTATCAGTGGTGATAGTGATGATAATGATTATAAAGTGATAATATCACTGACAAATATGATATCCATGGCAATATTTATACATTTGTGGTGATATTATAGCATGACATCAATGACAATAATTATGACATTCATGGTGATGGTAGTAGCGGTTGTGGTGGTGATGATGGTGATGACGGCAATATTAACATGACATCAATGACAATATGATATCCATGGTGGTGATGGTGGTAATGATGATAATGATGATGATGGTGATGAAGATATAAATAATGATAATAATGACAAGAATGATAATTATAATGATGATGATGGTCACTAAACAGATGATACTAACAATAAACCCCAATCCAAGGTTACACCTACAGTATCTTATGTAACTATACTATTTTCTATCTTTTGGTTATTATAATAAAAGAATTGCTATGTACATGGGCAATAAAATGTCATCAAACATCCATCACTCCCATCACTACAAATAATATGATTTATTCTTGTCCTTGCAAAATGCAATATTCATACAAATGGGACACTAAACACCTTGGCCATGTTTCTGCATTTTATCGTTTTGCACATTGTTAATGACCATAGATTAGACAGGCTGTATGCTTTGTTTATGTTCCACTCAAACGCTGACGTTTTAAAGCGAAACGTCCATTTTGAACAATAACTCTTCACGCACAGGACATGTCATAAACTGAATTATTAACGCATTTTGCTAATTCACTTCCCAGATGTCACCAGTGTTTTACCAAACTAGTTACATAACTTGGATATCGAGACATTTAAATCATCTTTGCATTACAAATTAAAGATGATACAGTATGTGAAAATATTTTCAAGAACATTTAATTATCAACTATGACCGTAGTGTTTATGAATCATACATTATATTAAAGAATTAGGCAATTATAAATTCATTAAATCTATCTTAATTTGATTACTAATCAAGTAAATTATTTGTTGGATAATTACATTACACTGAGTGTCAATCAAGATTCTAAATATATACTTTAGACTTTAATTTATTACATAATTCCTAACATAGTTTACCATATTTTACAGTAGCTTGTATAAATACCAAACAATTTACAGCAAATTTACTTGATTCTTTAATTGAAAAAAAAAATGCATTTGTGGCGCTGCCAAAGTACAAATTATCGTCAGCAGTTTCACAATATTTTGTTCTTATTGTTGGCCAAGGCTTAATTATTTAATGGCAAGCATTGTTCCCTCTATTCATTTTGGTAACCACAGAGCTAATATCTTGTTCTTAATCAAATTTATACCCCATTCACATTGCAACTATTTTGCGAATACAGTAGGCCTATTAAAAACCAGTAACAAGTTGTAACCAGGGTTGTGTAGTGTGAAAGTTCATGTATAACGAAATATCACAGGAGACAACTGTGATATCTAGGAAGAGAAACAGGCCTTGTCGAGGGCTGTTTACTCTTTTGAGATGTGGCAAATTATTCACAGCGCATGAATTTATACTGCCAGTGCCATCAGTCAACAGAAAATAAAATAATGTTGCACGCGCTAAGACTACCCCAGATATCTAGGCCTACAGTACTGCTATTCTTCCGAGATTTTGCATGGTTTGGATAACTGTGTGTGTGAAACGAAGAAAATATCTTGGGAGTTGTTACAACTTGTTACTAATTTCTGTTAGTGTGAAAAGGGTAGTCAAAGCAAACCCTACATTTTTTAGACTTAGACTTTGGGTCAGTCAAACTTGTTGATATTGCACAAAATACACATTTATAAACATAAAATAGTGATTTAAATTGAATCACATAAAAACTGAGGTCTTGTAGTGAAGAATTCACCATCTTAGTTATGTTTAATGCATTAGATTACAGACAGTAGATTGTAATTAATCAATACTCATATCACGTGGGTTTAAGTCCAACTGTGAAAATACAGTACATGTATTATCCATAAATAAGCACAATTATAAAATGTTCAATGTGCATATAGACTCAAGGATTTACACTACCAGCAATGGAAATCAATGGAGAAAGTGTGCAACAGGACTGGTTGGGCAAGGCTAGGCCAAAACATAGGCCTGGTACCGAAGCCTAGATCCTTGAGTGTCAAGTGCGAACAGATTGATTGCGATTAAAGGTGATTCTACTCTACCTTGGTAATTTTAGCACTTTGACTTCCCGTGCTAACATAGTGCACATACCAAGGAGCCACAGAAAATGAAAGTTATCACACAATATCATCAGTACTGAATACACATGCATTAAAGCCAACATTTCTTATCACCAACGAAACTGTACAGTATCAGTACCTTGTTGATCTCTCATATCCCCATCTATCCCGTCCCTTTCTCAATCATCAAAAAAGTCATATATTCTATGAGTTCTATTTTTTTATTTAAAAAAAAAAAAAAAAAAAAAATTGAATTAACAAAAATGAACTTACCTTTGAATCTAATACAGTCTAAGGAACTACAATTAAATTGTTTATTTCTTGTTTACAATTACTATCTGAAATGGAGAATGGAGAATTAATAGTACTGTAGCCTGGTAGTAAGAATAAGATGTTAAAATTCCAACCCTACAGTTATGTAGAGTGCTAAATCCTGCTAACCCCAGCCTAAAAAGAGGTTTTGCATGGCAAAGTTCTAGGGATACATAGTATCTGAGGAAGTTCCATTATTTTGATGGCTTTTGATGTAAGGGGAAAGGGTGTCGTTTCGGTTATCAGAGGGGATTGACCAATCAATAGAAATCCTTATCCAAGAAAGCTTCCTTCTACCAACAAAAACCGTGAATAAGGAGGGTGTTGAACCCATCGATGTTAATGCTATAGGCTGTGGCGCCTCAATACCCTCCCCCAGCTTACCAACTGAACTCCCCACAAGGCTAAGAAATACCCACCGTATAAGCAAGACTCAGCTTATAATGCTTATTAATAAATTTATCTTTTTAATTGATTACTATTATTAGAATAATCACATGGAAAATGTTGACTGCATGACTCATTGTCAATAATTGCACAATTGTTATTTTGTTGCCAAGTTCAGGGTTCAAAGGTGACACAGTAGGCAATTTATCAACAACAGGTCATCACTGAGTACATACAATAACAATACACTGGTGGTAAAAAGTTAGTAGACTATCTAGCTGGATATATTAATCATCTTCTGAACGGGTTCAGGAAAAGATATTCCAGCCTGATGAGAATATAGCATGCAACTAAAATAAACAATAATATGTTTCCATATTTACAGCACTGAGTTACCGTTACTCTCACTATTTTCCTACCTAACAAAGGAAAAAGAACCCCCATGCAAAGACATTAAACTTCTAACAACCAAACCTCCACAGTATGTGGTGGCTGTACACACGTTCGGCTATCCAGGAGGTCAGCATATAACCAAAGTGTGGCACTATACCAAAGTCAAATATAAACCCAGGCAACTGATATTTGATCGGACAAAAAAACACTCAAGTGTCATGAGGTAATACTACTAGAGTATTGCCCAGTAATCAGCACTTGTAAATTTGTATAGTCTTCAAATTGTTTTATTGGATAAAGAGTCTTTTAATTTATCAATTTTCAGGATATAAAATATAATTTGTCATGTGACACCCAGGGTTACTATCAGATCTCCCCATGTGGAGCAACTTTTGGCAGAGTAGTGAAAATGATCTATTCCTTGAATATTATTTCTAGGCCTCTGGACATACTCTGGGTTTTTTCAATTCTGTTTAAATAATTTGCACATCTTAAAATTAAGGCTAGGTTCAAGCCAGAGAAATAGAGCACCATTTTTTGTCCACACAAAATAGGTTGACCTGGACTGACCTTATACTCAGCCAGCCAATGTTGTTGGTATGTTGTACTGTACAGTACAATTGATTTTTGAAAGGTAAAAAAGGGGTTTTTGACGAAAAAAATTTAGAAACAGTTAATAAGATACAGATTTTAAGACTATTTACAAATATTTTCCCATAGCATAGCAGTTTTTAATGTCTTCAGCAAATGCATGTGATTAGTTTGGACTAGGGAATGGTGAGCAAATCAGGAAACATACTATAATAAAATGGGAGGGAAAATAGGGAAAAAGGCAGGATGGAAAGAAGAAAGGATACATAAGAGTATAATGAAGATTTAGAAAGAGATATGATAAAGGAAGAAATTAAGAATGAAAAAATAAAGACTAATATTTTAGATAAAATGCAAAAGATGATTTAAAAGAAGGAATCGTAGAGGATGTATTAATATAGAAAAATTAGAAAGGCCTAAAAATGTGTACATTTTTTTAGGTATGATGGGGGAGTAGATAGTATAGCCTATAAGAGATAGGAAATAAGGAATTTTTTATTAACCGCTCCCACAAGTAATAACAGTAAAAATATTCTATTATAACAAAATGGACCTCTAAAAAAAATTAATATTTTACTGATATTTTTCAATGGGAATCATGTCATATAAAAAATTATCACAATGATTCATATCATCCTATGAAGATAGCTTTAATATGAATTGCATCTCATGAGACTGCAATCCAAATTTGCATCTTCTGTATGAATACAAAATTTTGCTCTTTCTGCATCCATAATTAGTGCTACATCATTATCATTACTACTAACTGTAATGGGAAAGCCGATTCATATGTTTGCATCTTAAAAGTAGCTCATAGTATTAAATAGATGAGCTACGATAATTCAAGGCAGTCAGTTCTACAGTAATACACAAGTTTTAATACCTGTAAGATTTATTTAATAACATAGGCAAAATTTTGTTCAGAATGTATTTGTTCTATAGGAATTTTGTTGCACTTAAAGCGAAACACAAAATTACATTGCAATTTCCCCTAAATAAATATCAATATACTATGATGTATGTTTGCCCAATATAAATATCAATATACTAAAATGTATAATAAAAATTGAAATATTAGAATGTTTAAAAACACATTAAAACATGATTTGAAAATTAAAACCTATTCTTCTAAAATCTTCACAGGCAGTGTAAAAAATAAAAAATAAAATTGTATTTTCTTGTTTAGCAAAATGGTGTACAAAATTCATCCAGGAACTAAAAACAAAATTTCAGAAACAATTCAACAGAATTTACTAATCGATTTATTGTTGAATTTAAATAAATGTCAGTACATGCACTCTTTGGCCTTCGCTAAAAATTATGCCTTGACACATGCCGATTAAAATTACAAATTTACTAACTGGAATATTGTACTTCTTACACAAAACAATGCGTAATACCGCAAACGACAACATAATCGCAACAGAGGCTTCAGCGCAGCGCTTATTCAAGAGAGGTACTTATTTGAGGACAGCACTTATCACCATAGTTCCTCAGGTATAAGCCAATCACGGGTATGCTTAACCTTCTATTTTATGTACCAGCCTATCCTTGGGCAAATGTGCAGGTATGACTTTTACAAAATATTCTCAGAAAAATGATCAAATATTAGTTTTAAATTAGTCATACCTACAGTTCTCAAAATTGCCATTTGATTTAAAAGGGATCCTGGGCATAAGCCCATCCCTAAAAATTGGCCAATATTGGGTTTAACTTGGCGGTGGGCTTTTATCAGAGTAAATATTTAGAGAGTTAAAATTGTACTATGTGTAATACACAGGCCAACAGTACATGACTTGTTGCAACATACCACAAGAATTAATCTGTGAGAAATTGATTGCTTATTATATAGTGTCCCAATGATATAAAAAGCACAAATTGTGTAATATGTATAATTGTACAGTACTCTTGATAAATAATTAACAGCACGTTTATTAAAAACAGCATCTCTAATATTAGCAGTGCATCACCTTTTTGGGGGATATCTTTAGCAAAATATAATGTTTGGTACAGTCCTTATTCAAGAATGTGCTAATCAAAATATCAAATTATTTTTATTAATATATTATTTATATTTATTGCAGTGGTGAGCTTTATAATTTAGGAGTGTTATGGTAAGAGCAAGACAGAGAACTACCTATGTTTATTTTTATTACTGACAACTTTCAAACAGACATGTCAACAACATCAATGACGTTATAAATAAACACAAATAATGTGTTTTTACCGACGGTACTAAAAATAAAAGCACTCTTAAGTGCTTGGTAACAAAATAGGAAACAAATGCATAATTGTGTTAGAAGTTATAAGAATAATAAAGTTTCATTTTTTTTCATAGAGTAACTATATATAGCTTTACAATAATAAGAATATCGCTTGTAATGGGATTTGGTTTATGTTCCTTTCCTCAAGTAGTTTCTAAAGGGAAGCTACATATTTGTGAAATTCCCATGGAAATATAAAAACTATTTCTGGATGAAATTGTAAACTGAATTTGTGAGTATGTGTGAGGAATACCCATTAGAGAATGTGTCAACAAAATTGGAAACTTCCTGCAAAGGCTTACAGGTGACTTGAAGGTGTATGCAGTACGCAGTGAAGGAAATTAGAACTTTCTTATAAAGAACATTCTCATAATGTTGAATGACTCAGGGGTACAAAGTAGAGGTACTAACAAACGACTACAGACTTAGTAGGGATAGTTGTAATGGAATCGTAGACCAAATGGATTTATAGAAGGGGTGAAAGTGTATTTTTCTTATTCTCATCATAATAAAATTTTTCTTTTACAACAGAAGCTCGTTCACCAAGGAGGTGTTCTTCCACGAGGTTGTATTATATCTTTTACACATCGTGAAACTAACTTAAATTCTATAAAATGTACGACTACTATAATCTAATACAAAAATAAAAACTAGTAAATGGGAATTCTTAAAAGCTGAAAACCAAAACTAACTGTACTATCAAATACTGTACTTGAAAATTATCAAAATTATCCTTTTAAAAATTGTATTTATTTGTTTTAAGTGTTTATTTATATAACACCTTTCTTTTCGGATATAAACTGCTTTTTCCCGAGGCCACTGGGTCCACATGCAATTTACTATTGTAATTTGTGCAGGAACAGATACCCATTTATTACACGCCTATTTGGGAAGAAGCAATGCTGATACAGTAAAGTACCTTGCTCAAAGACAATAAGCAAATCCACAGCAAGTGATTGAAACCCAGACACTTTATATTTATTAGATAAGAATAAATTAATCACACTAATTAATAATAGGTAGGCCTAAAATAAGTTTTCAAAAAATATTACCATATACCATAATTGTGTGAATAAGCACCCTGTTTAAATAAGTGCCCCTCTTGAATAAGCGCCCCTCTAATTAATAAAGGTGGCCCTGAGGCAGTCCTGAGCCGAAGCAAGTATTCATTGTGATTGGGCTCTCAGATAAATGTTTCTAGTTCTCATCATAATTAGTAATGCATGGTGTATTGATCCTCAGGTTCCTAAATGATCCTATCCAGCACTACTCAGCAAAGAGGAAGCAGAGATCATCTTTAACCATTTCACCATCTATATTCTCTTTTGGGAATCTTTCTTTTTCCTGTACAGCTGTCTACTTTCTGTGGAATGATCATCCATTTAGTACAG